AATAAATATACTCTCCTTCCGGAGGTACATAAGAAAATGTCATCCTTTCTTGTGGAGCGGGCCAAACGCCTCGGCAGGATAGATGCATCTATGAATCGTGCTGCATGTCCCTCGGCAGTGTATAGGACACTCTGGATCGGGCCGTCCATCCTCGACAGAAATCGTACTTAATAATAATAATCACATGATACCTTAATAGCTTATTTCAACTTGCGAAGCTAATTGATAAATTTGAGAATCCTTGGAATTTAATGAATTATTATTCCTGCTTGTTAAGGAATTAATTGTTATTCTTGTAAATGAGATTAATTGATAAATTAGAAATTATTTGAATTGAAAGAATTTAACTAATATATTGAGAATTGTTGCATTTGAAGGAATTTGATTATTTCCGCTGGTTAAATAAATTATTGTAAATTCTGTGAATCATGCTGATTTAGATATTCTAGTTGTATTTCAGTTATTATTATTGACCCATAGTGAGTGTCAAAGCCGACCATCTCGTCTCTACCTCTTCGAGATTAGGCTTGATACTTACTGGGTACACATTATTTACGTACTCATACTACGCTTGCTGCACTTTTTGTGCAGGACCTGAGGCAAGTACTAGTGGGGGACCTATCATCTTCCACCCACGTTATCCAGGGGCATAGTGGTGAGCTGCCTTTCTGAGCCGTTCTGCAGCTACTAGTGTCTCTCCTTATATTTTTCATTCTGTCTATTTTTATTTCAGACAGTATTTGAGGTTTTGTATAATCTACTATATGCTCATACACTTGTGACACCAGGTCTTGGCACACATTGGTAGAATTTGATGTTTTATTATCTTTCTTGGTTTTAAATTTTGTCAATATATGCTTAATTTATTAAGTTGGCTTGCCTAGCTGTAGTGTTGGGCGCCATCACGACCTATAGGTAAAATTGGGTCGTGACACTACCCCTCGCCACATCCCTGATCCCACCCTCACCCACTCCAACCTCGCCCAATACCCACCCTAAATAGAACTATTCTTTTCATGATGTAGTAAAAGTATTTTCTTTCATTTCAACAAAACAAGTACTTACTTTTCATGAAGTAGAAAAAGTATTTCTTTTATTTCAATAAACTAAGTATTATAAATTCCCAACAAAACGTGTACTTTCTTTTCATGATATAGAAAAAGTATTTTCTTTCATTTCAACAAACTAAGTATTTTCTTTTTTCTGATGTAAAAAAAATATTTTCTTTTATTTTAATAAAATGAGTAATTTCTTTTCATGATGTAGAAAAAATATTTTTTTTCATTTCAACAAACTGAATATTTATTTTTTTTATGTAAAAAAATATTTTATTTAATTCAACAAAATGAGTAATTTCCTTTATGTTGTAGAAAGGATACTTTTTTCAATAAAATAAAGTATTTTCTTTTTAGTTATCGAACTCAAATTTTAACATTATTCTTGTGTGAAAAAGTAAAGTAGCACATTAGTTCCTTGGGGTTTGTGTGAATTTTGAAAAGAATAATTAAATTCTTAAAGAAAACAAAGTTGGGGGGTTTGGGGAGGGGGGAGTACAGGAAATATGAGAATTTTGGGAAAGGTGTGTTGAGGAGAGTAGCATAGAAAATTATTTTCCTAAAAATATTTTATATTCTCTAATCAAACACTAGAAAATATTTTCCGAAAAGATTTTCACTCACCAACCAAACAAGGGAAAATAAGTGACAAAACCACTCACTTTCCATGAAAATATTTTCTAGTGAAAAATACTTTTCTTCATACCAAATACACCCCAAATGTCAATGTCTTTCGAGCGTTGCTACCTAATTATGTTTTCATTTTTTTCTCGATATCTTACGGGAATGTACCAAAGAAAGACACTATTTACCAACAACTAACCATTTTAGTCATGCTACAAAAAAAGCTAAAATAATTAACAATGATATACAATATTCAAAAAATATAGGCAAAAGAAGATTGTTTTCCAATAGGTATTGTTGCGATTCATTAAAAACACATAGATGGGGCAATATGTAAAATGTTTCGAAGTTTAAAAAGCGAGTTAGACTAGTTTGAAGTCAAAATTCATTACTAATGATATAAAATATTAAAAAACAGGGGGAAGGATTCTTTTTTTCAATGGGTATGGAATTCGTTGAAAATATATAGATGAGGCAATATACAAAACTTGAGCAAGATTGGAGGTGATTCGAACTGATTTGTATCAAAACTCGTAGTTAAAATCAAGTTTAAAAGATTCTTTTGCGACACATGTATCACGTATGTATCCCATACACATGTATACATGGATATACATGTGATACACATATGATACATATGTGATACATAAATAATACACTATGTGATACATGTTTACCCGTAAAATAATACAGTTGAATTTGTTATGTGGTTTAGAGGCACGTGAATTAAATTGTTCCAAGAAAATAAAATGATAAAGGAAAAAATTGAATAAAGTAAGAAATAATTGAAGAAGAGGCGAGCCTGTGTCTCGAATTATGATTTTCGGTAGCTAGAACAATATCAAGAACAAAGTACTTGGCAAAGTAATGTTAACAGAATAAGAGAATAAGTTTAGCCTTTTTTCATACAAGTATTTCACGCCCTTCCATGAATACAAATTTCTCTATCTATAGCTAAATTAGGTGAAAAAAGATCCCCAAATCAAGCTGTTCTTTAAAGTGAATAAAGACCATTATTGATAGCCGCATAATAGTTGAGTGTAAATACTAAGGTTTTTTGTAACAGTTGCTCCTTTAATGATGTTTTCTTCAATCGGTATCTTGTTTTTAAATTCTTTTCTCCGATTGTGATGTCACCAGGAATCATATAACACTGGCCACATACTTAGATCTGGTATCAGTTATTTGCTCACTCATCTCCTACGTGTCTTTACTGCCATGTATTCAATTGACGAAAATCCACTTGTCATCTGCTAATTTTACCCAATACAATATACATATCATCTTTTTCCATATTCATCTTCTACTTCAAAATTTCAATTCAAACTACCTCAAAGCTCCACCAAATCATCCCAAAACTGAGATTCAAACTCTTTAAGATGTACCAAATCCATTCTAATAATACTCACTCAAAAGAAAGCAAATATTAACTATTTTTTGCTACAAATATCTAATTGGCTAATATTGGTAGCATTTGGATAATATTAGTAATATTTTATGAATTATCAATTTTTGTAATAGGGTACTTATAGGCGGACATAGCTGGTAATTTCCCTTTTTTTCTCTCCCTTTGTGATTTTGTAAGAAGACATGTCTTAGTTCTGTCATTTATGTCCATTGACACTAATATATTGATTATTTATAGAAAAAATGATTCTTATTTTTGTTGTTATTTTTAGGGCAAGTGCTTTGATATTTCAAGTTTACCGCAAAGTAAAAAGTCATGGGAAAATTTGATGTGCAATTTTGAGGTAAACGACATGTGCTCCAACAGCTCTTGCTTGCCCTAATATAGCATTGCAGTCTTGCAGATCCATGTGCTTCTTGCACCATTCAACTCATTGCATTGCCTCAAAAATAATTTTTTCGTCCAACTAAGCGTTTGTTTGAGTCTTTTGCAAACTCAGTTTTTAACTTTATTTTGGAGAAGTACTACTACTTTTTTAAGGAAAAAAAAATCAAAAACTCAAATTTTCAAATCTTTCAAAGTCTTCCTTCAAGTTCAAAAATGTCCAAGTTTTAAATATATAATATAAAAACCTATAATCAAATCCCACTAAGACTTCTTTGCAACTAAACCTTGAGATTACTATTTGCTAGAGAGTTTATTTAGCTAATATTATTTGAAGGTCATTTCTTTTCTTTGTAAAGAATTCTTTTATGGGAACACTCTTTGTCCCTCCATCCTCTATATCTGTCTTCCAAATTCTGACACACTGCTCTCTATATGGCGTAAACATGGTGCCTGATAGTGCAAGCAAAGCAAGCAACCTACTCTCTTTTTTTTTTAAATTTCAAACAAAAAAATGAATAACACAATAATAATAATTATTAATCTTTTCATACTATCCTCTTTGCCTTTAGGAAAAAAATAAAAAACTTTTTCCCCCCTCTCTCTCCTCTAGTCTTTTTGGCTTTAATGCTTCACTAGCAAAAGCCATCTGCAAAACTCTCTTCTGTTTTTCTGTCCATGCCATCCCCTCTCCCTTTTTCGTCCCATCTTCTTCACTTGTTCTTAGTACAATATTTAACTCCAATAAACTCCATTTCCTAAGCAAAATAAATGCAGTTTCTTTATTTTTATATTTATGGAAGCTGCTGTTTTAAGTTCCATATTTATCTAAGAGCTAAAGAAGCTTAATTACTTGAGCTAAAGTTCATTTTATTCTTTGAAAAATATACCTAGCTGGTGATTTAGTAGTTTTCTTTTCTTGTCCATTGACTTTTTTTCCTCCTTCAATGCAGCTCTAAGTTCTAACTTCAACCGTTGTTGTCTTTTCAGGAGAACTGTTTGCAAGTTTGGTAGACCATTTCTCTCGCTATGTTTCCTTTTCAAGCTATAGAGATAGAAAACTGTTTATTTTTTCATATTTTGGCTTATTCTTAAGGGTAGTTCCTGTTCATCTTGACATCTGAAAGTTTCACTTTTTTTATCTGCTCTTTCTGTTTAGGTCCAAAGTTAAAGAATTCAGACACCATAACATAAGAAAATTTCACATCAAAATAATAGTGCCAAAGAAGAATGAATTAGCCACCATTTCTTTAGAGATTGTAAAAGAAAGTAGAGTATGTGGAGTCAAGAATGCAATATTGTTTCCTAGTTATGAGCTTGTTGTTTTAAAGAGATCTTTTTTCCTTTTTTTTTTCCTTCTCAAGTCAGCCACCACTTTTAGTTTAATCATTTAGTCTAGCTAGCTTCTAATCTACTATCCCTTGTCCTGTTTCTTCCTCTCTTTTTCTGTCTCCAAACAAAAACAAGAATACTAAAGAAATTTGAGAGGTTAGAAATGGAAGTTCCAAATGAAGAAGGAGAAATGGCAATGCCAATTAACAGCACATATGGGCATGAGCACATGATCTATCATGACACTGCACCACAAAATAATCACATAATAACACCCCCACAAATAGTAACTTCCAAAAATGGACCCCCAATTTCCACTAGTACCCTTGAAACCTCAGATAATGTAGTACCTTACAAGAAAATGGTGAAGTATAAGGAATGCCTCAAGAACCATGCAGCAGCTATGGGTGGAAATGCAACTGATGGATGTGGAGAATTCATGCCTAGTGGTGAAGAAGGTACTTTTGAATTCCTCACTTGCTCTGTTTGCAATTGCCACAGAAATTTCCATAGAAAAGAAACAGAAGGTGAGCTCATAAGAAAAGTTTATGTGGGACATCCTCATAAAGCATTTGTGTACCCTGCTTCTAGAGCAGCACCATATCAGATGATAATGTCTTATAATAACCATTTGGGATCATTTCCTTATATTGAGCAAGAAGATGGTATAATAAATGGTGGTTGTGGGGTTATGGCTAGGCCACTTAACTATCAACAATTGGTGAAGAAGAGATTCAGGACAAAGTTTAGTCAAGAACAAAAGGAGAAAATGCTCAACTTTGCTGAGAAAATTGGATGGAAGATGCAAAAGCAAGAGGACGCTATGGTTCAACAGTTTTGTCAAGAAGTTGGAGTTAAAAGAAGAGTACTTAAGGTTTGGATGCACAACAATAAGCACAGTCTCGCAAAGAAAAACTCCAATGACATTAATCTTCAAAGTCAAATTTGAACTACTTCTATCTGTTACCTCTAGTAGACAGTATTTAACTTAATTTCTTCTTTTATTTCCTCTACTGTTTTGCCTTTTTGGTATCTTCTTGAACTTCACTTCTCTTTGGTCCATTGTTACAATTAGCTTGATATTTTAACAAAATAATATTTGGGTATGCAATGTATTGGTCGGATTTTGTTTAACTTATCTGTAGTAATCAGTTTATACATAGAAAAGATTATTTAAAAAGATCTTTTCTGATGGATATTTACTTTATTATTACTATACCCTCTGTCCCAATTTATGTGCTATATTTTGCTTCTCATGATTCAAATTATGTGAACTTTGATTATTATAATTTTTCATCAAATTGACATAAGAAGAATTATAAAAAGAATTATAATTATAGTACTTTTATAGTTTTTAAATATCTAAATTTTAATTTTAAAATATGAGTTAATTTAATTTAATTTAATTTTAAAGATTAATTAATTAACTCTCGATAAACGAAGAGCTTTGAGTACCACATAAATCGGGGCCGATGGAGTACTTATTAGCAATGGGTGCTTCTAGTTTAGAAAGGAGCATGAGTCAAACTCTATGTTACCCTTCAGTCTTATGATTATGTCTGTTAATGTTTCTGTAGATCCCCGAAAGATAATTTATTAACCTCAATAATAGAAGTACATCTTATTTAATTGTAAGAAGATAATATCCTCCCCTAACTTTTTTATTTTTGTCAAAAACAAAATGTAGAAACTCGGTTAACTAGATGACCCTCTTTCTCTAAATACACTAATTTCTTCTCATAATTATTTTCCCTTTTCATGATCCAGATCGAATATCTCTAAGCTAGTACGTAAGATTGCAACGACAAACATATCACAGGAAAATATCCACTTAGACCATAACTAGAATGGTTCTTGTTTACAAGCAATCAATTCCTTTTTCTATTAGGATTACTACATTGTTTAGATTCTTTTTCTGAAAACCAGTGGCTTTTGGTCGGCTTGCACACCAAATGTTGTTGCTGACTTTTTAACCTGGAGATTTTTATTTTGTTATGCGGAAACTTTTGAGATATATTGTTTCACCAACATTTTCCTCCAACCAAATAGAAGAAAATAATATAAGAAAAAGTTTAGTTAGCAGGATTAACATTCTGTAATGGATTGGAACAATTAAGCAATTACCTAAGCAATTGAGTAACAGAAAAGAGAACAAAAGCACTCTTTTATTCAATATCAATGGAAGCTGTTACACCATTGTTACAAGTATTCTTCATAATCTGAGAAAGAAGAAGGAGAAGAACGGAATTAGGAGAATAGAAGAGAAGATTCGAGAAGAGAGAGAACAGAGAAGTGAAAGAAAAGGTTGTTAGAAGTGTAACTGAATTACCAGTAAATTGCCCAACTTGCTTCACCTAGCTCCTATAGGGCTTGGGCTTCATAAGTGGCCGGTGAACATTGGGCCTCAACACTTTGGCCCAGTTCTATACTCTGTTAGCCCCATGCCTTTAACCCAATGCCAACTAAATGTAATTCGAGGAAAAATCATGGAAATTTTACCTCCTATATCAAAACTTTACACCCTATTTATTATAAATAAAAAGCCTTTTAAAATATTATTGTATATAGCTATCTTTTAATTTTTATAGCAAAATATGTATTAATGGTCACTCCCTACGGTTAAGCCATAAAATACGGTGTCTAATATTTTTCTCTCACATTCTTTCAGTTTATTCTCTCACTAAATTACCGCACAGTTCTCTCTCCACAAAATTTTTAATTCTCTCTCCACGTTCTCTCTCTCACAGCATTGTCCTCCCCATTGTTGAAGCACGATTCACCTTTATCAGCGCCATTGTCTTCCTCAATTTTCAATTTTTTTTGCTCCAAAAAGTTGTGGTAAGTGTTAAATTTTTTAGCTTTTGCCCAGTTAAAGCTTCTTCCTTTTCTCTTTAATATTGTTTTCTTTAAATATTCACCATTATTTAATTTTCACAAGAAAACTTGAAATTTCCTCTTCAATGGTTGATTCAATAACCCAAAAGAGGGTTACCAGAGGTATACCCACCAAAGCACTAAATTTCGATGGGCCATCTTTCGATTTGCAAATCACTCAAGCAGAACCAGTATTTGAAGGTTCATTAGTGTAACGACCCGACCGGTCGTTTTGAGAGTTAGAGCCCCGAACCCCTATTAACAGCTTTCCCCATATCTATTTCTGCTATTGTGACTTGCCGGGATGATTGGTTTTGAGTTTTGGAGTGTTTTGGGACACTTAGTCCCTAAATGAGAGCTTAAGCCTTAGGATTTGGACCGTAGTTGGAACTCTGTGAAGACGACTCCAGAATGGAATTATGTCGGTTCCATTAGCTCCGTTATGTGATTTTGGGTTTAGAGGCTTGTCCGGATTGTGTTTTGGAGGTCCGTAGCTCATTTAGGCTTGAAATGGCGAAAGTCGAATTTTTGAAGTTTTGGGCCGGTAGTGAAATTTTTTATATCGGGGTCGTTTTCCGATTTTGAAAGTTGGAGTAGGCCGTAATATTTATTATGACTTGTGCGCCAAATTTGAGGTCAATCGGATGTGATTTGATAGGTTTCGGCATCGGTTGTAGAATTTTGAAGTTTCAAGTTCCTTAAGTTTGAATTGGAGGGTGATTCGTGATTTTAGCATTGTTTGATGTGATTTGAGAGCTCGACTAAGTTCGTATGGTATTTTAGGATTGGTTGGTATGTCTGGTCGAGGTCCCGGGGGCCTCGGGTGAGTTTCGGACGCCAAACAGATCGATTTTTGGACTTAGGAGGTTGCTGAAGTTTTCTCGTGTCTGAGTTCTGGTTTCCTTATACGCGATCGCGTGGGGTGATCCGCGATTGTGTAGGCTTAGCTGGGCAGAGGATGGAATTGTTCTTCGCGTTCGCGGACATGGGCATGTGAACGCGTAGTGATGTGAGGTGGTGGTTCGCGAACGCAGAGACAAGGTCGCGATCGCGTAGGGTTAAGTGTACCAAAGCTGGACCACGCGCTTTGCTCATCACGAACGTATGCGGATGTTCGCGATCGCGTGAGTAGGGGAGCCAGAGCATCACATTCGCGTGGTGTTTTATGCGATCTCGTAGAGTAATTTCTGGGGCAGCAAAGTTGTTCTTCGCGATCGCGAGGCTATTTCCGCGATCGCGATTAAGGAATCGCTGGGCAGTGTTAAAGTTTCCAAAAAATGGGGGTTTTGCCATTTTACCAAAAACTTGAGATAGGGAGCTCGGATTTAGACGAGATTTTGAGGGATTTTCAAATATATCGTTTGGGTAATGATTCTTAACTCCTCTTTGGTTATATCCCACTAATCTATCATTAATTTTCTCTTTAATTTCGGATTTTGGGGTTGAAATTGGGAAACATTTGGAAGAACTTTTTCAACAAAGATTTCGAGTTTTGAAGGGGATTTGTAGTCGGATTTGGGTAAATTTTATATGGTTAGACTCGTGAGTGAAAGGGTGTTCGTATTTTGTGACTTTTACCCGATTCTGAGACGTGGGATCCACGAGCGATTTTTGATTTAATTTCAGAATTTTCGTTAAAATATTGATTTCGTTAATTAGATGAGTCTATTATTGTTGTATTTATGATATGTAATTGCTTTTGGCTAGATTTGGGCCATTTAGAGCCGGATATTCGTGAGAAAGGCATTGTGACCGATTGATTGAGCTTGGTTCGAGGTAAGTGACTTGCCTAACTTTGTGTGGGGGAAATCCCCTTAAGATTTGGAACTATTGTGATATGTGAGCGCCGTGTACGTGAGGTGACGAGTACGTACACGGGCTAGTTGTGGTAAAACCCGATTTTCTTACTGGACAACAACATGTTTTCCTGTTATTTTGAGTTATACAATTTTAATGAGTACTAATCTATTTTCATTCTTAATTGAGTTATTCCAATATGTATAGCTATCATATTTAGTCTAATACAACAAGTCTACGTGTCTTGACCGATTGATTGAGCTTGGTTCGAGGTAAGTGGCTTGCCTAACTTTGTGTAGGGGAAATCCCCTTAAGATTTGGAACTATTGTTATATGTGAGCGCCGTGTACTTGAGGTGACGAGTATGTACACGGGCTAGTTGTGATAAAACCCGATTTTCTTACTGGACATCAACATGTTTTCCTGTTATTTTGAGTTATACCATTTTAATGAGTACTAATCTATTTTCATTCTTAATTGAGTTATTCCAATATGTGTAGCTATCATGTTTAGTCTAATACAATATGTCTACGTGTCTTAATTATTTATGTGAATTTTTTGCAACATGCTTAGTAAATTTCCTGCTTCTTCCCTGACTGGTACTTAGTCTAAATCGTAAGAATTTCGTGATGTAGTTGTATTTATATCATTCGCGCTGCATATTTACTTTAGGACTACGGAACGGTATTTCGGGAGATCCCCCTATACTGCAAATTTACTTTGGGACTACGGAACGGTATTTCGGGAGATCTCCATGTACTGCATATTTACTTTGGGACTACGAAACAGTATTCCGGGAGATTCCCCTGTACTACATATTTACTTTGGAACTACGTAACGGTATTCCGGGAGATCCTCCACTGTCTTGCATATTTACTTTGGGACTACGGAATGGTATTCCGGGAGATCCCCCTGCACATTTACATTTGGGACTACGAGACGGTATCTCGGGAGATCCCCTGTTGTGTTTCTGTGTACTGGGTTGTTACCTTCTATGATTTTATTGTTGTTAAATTTCAGCCTTTATTTTATTGCGGTATTACACTCTATATTATTTTTATTATATTTTTACTAGTAGGGCCCTGACCTGACCTCGTCACTACTCGATCGAGGTTAGACTTGGTACTTACTAGGTACCGTTTGTGGTGTACTCATGCTACTCTATGCACATGTTTTTCGTGTGCAGATCTATGTGCACCTTATCAGCCACACTATCAGTGAGCCGGGACAGCTTTGGAGACTTCAAGGTATATCTACCGCGTCCGCAGACCTCGGAGTCCCCTTCTACTCTTTCTCATGTCCATTATCTTCTGTATTTTTTCTTGCTAGACTCTGATGTATAGAGACACTAGATTTTTCCTTCTGTAGTTTGTGATTCATGATGTTCTGGATTTTGGGATTTGTTGTGTATTTTTGAATAGTTGGTTAATTTTATATTTTTATTTTATTATTTCGCAAAATGTTAGGCTTACCTAGTTGTAGAGACTAGGTGCCGTCATGGCGTCACACGGAGGGGAAATTAGGTCGTGACAAGTT